ATTGAACATTTTTCATATTTAAAAGAAATAAGGCAAAAATGGAACAGGATCTATCAAAGATGGGTAAAGAAAACCCTAAATATCCCAGAGGTATGAAAGAACAACAACAACAACAACAAAGTCTATAAGGAAGTTGATATGGATTTGAAAGTTAGAAAGAAAGGAAAAAAGATGAAAGGCTTTATTTCAAGACAATAAGGTGTATTCATCACCACTGCTTGCAAACAGAGAATAGGTGATAAGATGCAAAGTAGGTGAGGACTAGGCTATGGATGATCTTACATACCAAGCTTCTGACTTTAAGTGCAATTTCATAGGCAATCTAAAGTCATGGAGTATTATACTGTGTTGTATTGTATTGTGTTGTATTTTACTGTATTGTATTTGTGTTTGCGCGCGCGCACGCGTGTGTGTGTGTGTGTGTGTGTGTGTGTGTGTAATGTGACTGTGAGCCCATGTGTATGAAGGTGTACAAGTTTGTGTACGCACATGTATGTGGAGGTCAAAGATCAATTATGAGCATATTACTCTGTCATGCTTCACCCTACTTTAAAAAAAAAAAGTCTCTTAAGTGAACCCAAAGCTCACTGATTGCTAGCCTCATAGACTGGCTGGCCGTGGAAGTTCTGGGGATCTGGCTGTGTTGGCATCTCTGCATGCTGCCATGCCTAGCTCTTATGTTTGCTCTGAAGATCTGAACTCAGTTCCTCAGACTTATACAACAAATGGTTTACCCACTGAGTTTTCTCCTCAGCCCCTTCTTAAACATTTTTTATGAAGGAGCAGCCTGTTCATTACTAGACCTTGGGTAAATTTTCCTGGTGCCACATTACAAGCTTGCTCAGAAAAGGAAAAATTTTAAATCAGGGCAATTAAATAAGTAACTCTTATAAAATCATGGAGATGATGACAAATCAAAATGACAAGAGAAGAAATGGAAACAAGGAGTTAGACAAAAGAAAAATGGCATTGATAATTTTTCTAACTATTTCTTTTAATTTGAAATATAAGACTATATATGATGAAAACAATATTTCATAATCAAGTTCCAGACTGTATTTTTAAGCAAAAACGATAGTGGTGTTTGGTGGCAGGAGTCACTCAGAACTGCAGGGAGTGGGTAGAGTCATCCATGTGACGTTTGAGTGCATTTCTGAGAGGACGGCCTGTGGGAATATTTTGCTTTAGAGAATATGTAAACCCAGCACACATATGGCTCAAAGAAGCTTATCAGAGGGAAGGACACACATCTTCAGAAGGAGAGCTGTGTGTGGTGGCTGATACAGGGGAATCTAGTGAAAGAACTTCACAAGCAAGTGAAAGAGCTTGAAGGTAGATTTCTAGGGACAAAACAAGATGCCTTATTTTAATTTTGTATTTTTTGTTAATTTCATATATCAGAAATAAAATTGCATCAATTTGACTCCTCCTTTTCTTTTTCATTCCAATTCTTCCTATGTCCCAATTCCCTTTAAAACTCACAATCTCTTTATTGTTGTTACACACACATACACTCATATACTTAATATTTTCACTCATAAAGTAATTTGTTATATTACATATATAACATATAAGATACATACAATATATATACATAATATATGTCACATATAGTTATATATACTTATAGATAATACCTATATGTACCCACCTTTTCTCAACAGCCACTGACCTATTTATTGTAGTGCTTTATCTAGAGTTGAGTCTCACAAAATTTCTCCCTTCCATGGTGTCATTGTACCAGAAACCAAGTTTTAATTGATACCCATGGAATTGTGAAGAGAATAATACACAAGGACAATGATTCGTTGCAAAATCAAAAGATTTGTAGAGTAAATATGAGAGACAAGAATGATGGGATGTTTTGACGGGCTGCTATGACCATTTAATACTTTAATTAGCTTTTGTTTGCTCCTCTCCAGTAAGCTATATGAGAAACATTTGCATAATGTAGCAATGAAGGAAAAAAGGCAATTTATGTGCTTGTGTTTCTCAACACTTTCACTCATGAAATTGTAAATTAACATAACACTTAAGTTCAAACTAAAAGAAAATTAGGGCCAGCTAAAAACTCGTTCTTACAAACCACCTACAACACTGAGGCCACCAGGAAACATTCTTAACTTAAGAACTATGCTCTACACATTGTCACTGTATGAATAACTCACGTCTAGGAAGGATATTGAAAGTTGCTTGAGGTGTGCTAATTGGAGGTCTTCATCAAAATAGCAGTGAAGAAGCAGTTTAATATGCTTCCCAGAACTTGAATGTTTTCAGTGAAAATCTTGCTCCACTGAAAAAGGGCACTCACTGAAAAATCAGCTCTCTGACATTTCAAGACATATTCAAGAATATTTCACAGCACCAATAACCCAGAAAAAAAAATCCCCCAAAATACACTTGACATCATTATTCAGTCTGTCAGCTTTCTCAGCTAACAAAGAAAAAAGTAGTTTCTGCATTAGTTCTGGATGCCCATAGTCAAGCACAAACCACATTCCCATTCTTTTTTTTTAATTTTGTATTAATTACACTTTATTCATTTTGTATCCCCCCATAAGCCCCTGTCTCCTCCCCTCCCGATCCCACCCTCCCTCCCCTTTCTGGGTGCATGCCACTCCCCAAGTCCACTGATAGGTGTAAGAAGTGGGAAATAGTAAGAGCTGGAGGGGACGGGAACTCCACAAGGAGAGCAACAAAACAAGATAATTTGAACACAGGGAACTTCCCACATTCCCATTCTTAATAAACATTCTCCTTGGAGTGTTTGTGTGGCATTTATCTGTAAGGTCATCAAGTTTATTTATTTATTTATTAACTTATTAACTTATTTATTTATTTATTTATTTATTTATTAACTTAATTCAGCAATATCATTTCCAAGGCATCAACCTACTTGAAGCACTTGAAAAGACTGTGTGAGAATTCATTGCCTTTTTCTAAAAGACAAAGTCTTCAACAGAGCTCATTATATAGCTTTGTAGGTGCTGATAAGAGAAAGGACTGGGAGATGGAAATGGACACCCTAATGAAGTGTTGGGGAGGGACATTTTAACTCAGCAACTCAGTTTCCTCATCTAAAAGTTAAAGCATCATATGGGTGAAATAGTAGATCAACTATTAAAGTAGTACTAAGTTCTAAAATGAAATAAAGGAATATGAAAGGGAAAAAATGGGATTGCAGAGATGGGTAAACAGTTAAGAATGGCTGCTCTGCTCTCCTGGAGGGCTTGAGTTCAGTTCCCAGCAACCACATGGTGGCTTACAACTGTCTATACTGGGGCTCGATGACCTTTTTCTGGTATGTAGCCATATATAGAGACAAAGCATTCATAAAGGTAAAATAAATAAACAAACAAACATTTAAAAGGAGGAAAAGAAGAAAGAAGAAGAAGAAAGGAGTGGAAGCCTTGACCTGTGACTGTTACCTAGTATAAAGAAAATTTACCACGTACCTAAATTTGGAGCAGAAGCATGAAGTGGAGTTTATGAACTGTGTGCATAAACAAATAGGTACAGTAAGATCAAGGTTTTGAAGCTAGACTGGGATGCCCTCACCATCAGGCCCAGGACTCAGTGAAGTCCAACAATCAGAATGACCCTCAAGATTCAGGATAAAATAAAGAACTCGGGGGTTTGAGGGCATGGTGGGAAATGAGTGATTGTTTTTCAGAAGTCCTTATGAGGGTTAAGAAGGGAAGACTTGAAGATTGTAGCGCAAAATTGCTTTTTCTTCTGCCAGTCAACACAAGACATGGTGGCAGCTGTGGAGGAGGACAGGTACTCCTTTTTGAAGACCAGAATATTCTTTTTCCGTAGCTTCCAGTTCTCTGAGTGAGGTAAAGTCAGCTGACTCTGTGGCCTTTGAGAAGTTAGAAGGTATGCATGGAACCATGACCAACTAAAAAGGAAACAGTTAGGATTGTGAGGTGGGGAGGCTTAAAGCTATGGCCCCAAGATCACGTGTTGGGTTTTTATCCTGCTGTAGTTAGCTGTTTGGAGAAACATCTACCTGGGGATAGAGTTTCCTTACCTGAGTAGGGTGCATAAGTGGCAAGAAATGAGCAACTGCACTGCAGGGCTCTGAAACCTAATCCTGGTAGAATGAGTAGGGCCAAGACGCTGAATGGGTAGCGAAACATGAGTGTTAGCAATGTAGCCCCTTGCAAACTCCACTGGAGCAGCAGTGAAACAAAACAGCTGAAAAGAAGGCTGGGGATTCGGAGTCACGTGGTTGGCAGGGAGCCGGCGGAGGTGCTAGAACAGATAGTCACAGAAGTGGCTGATCATCCGCATGCGTTGCTTTGTGTTCACGGAGTTTTTCTTCCGCAAAAAGAATCGCAAAGTTGAGAGCAACCGTGGACCCTGCCAACCCGGTGGAGTCCCGCTTCCATGGCTGTTAGGGAATAGGAGTGAGGTTAACATTTTCTGGGCTCTAGGGCCAATGAGGATGCCCGGTTCACCCCGACTCTTCAGATGCAAGAAACCCTCACTTTGCTTCCCAGCTTCCCTCAGTGCTTCCCTGGCAGTTATCTCCCTAGAGACCCGCAGGCAGAGCTGTCACACTTGGGTAGCAGCCAGCTCCCAGTGAGTCCCCTCCATGGCCTACTTGTCAGTGTGAAGTCCGAGTTTTAATTCCGCACAGGAGGTGATCTCTTTTATTGCCACGGACAGGGGTGCTGAGCAGGCTTCTGCTCTCCAGGAAGCCAAGAGGAGCCCCAGGTAGGTGATCGCCTGAGACCAGGTGCCCAGGCTCCTCAGTCTAGCTTCTGCACAAACCGGGAGTGCTTCCCCCACTTTTCCCTATTTTTGACGTCAGGCTCCTGCAGCTGGCAGAGGAGCCTCTCGGTGGAGAGCCCAGGGAGAGTGACAGGGAGGGGAAGCCATCGCAGCAACAGCTTGGAGGAGGCGGCTGCCTAGCCCTTGCAAGCACAACCCCGGGCTTAAAGCAGGACCTAAGAAGGAGACCTGCGGCTCCGGGAACCGCGGGCTTACTGCAAAGAGGGGCGGGGAGAAGGCGGGGGCGCTGCATGCAGCGCGCTGGCTCCAGCGGTGCCCGCGGGGAATGTGACATCACAGGCGCCGGGCGCTTGTGGCTGGAGCAGGCAGCTCGCCTCCGCCGCGCGGTGCACACCTCGCCCGGGGGAGGACGCGGAGCCCCGGCAGGCGGCCGGGATGTCGGCGAAGGAGAGGCCAAAGGGCAAAGTGATCAAGGACAGCGTCACTCTCCTGCCCTGTTTTTATTTCGTTGAGGTGAGTTGGCCCAGCGCCCTGGCATAATGCAGATCATTCCGGACAGCGAATTCGGGTCCTGGGTAGGGCTGGCGACCACACCGGAGCACCAGGGCGGAGTGCGCCTCTCTGCCCTCCCCAAATGCTGGACCCTCTCCTTTCCCCCACAGGTTTTTCTCCAGAGCTCCCCTGGGTCCGCCTGAGAACACCTGCCAGCACAGGCTGGCTGTCACTAGGGGTGGCTTGTTGGGTGGCCTTCCTGGAAGAGATACCTGTGAGAGTATGAGTCTAGTTTCCAGCCCTGTAGCGCCAGCGTCCATCAGTGCCCCGGAGGGGCCATGATGCCTGTATTTTGGAATTTGTGTTTTTCAATTTGCTGACTGTATCTAGAACTCTGTGAGCTTTTGGTGGGTATTCACATGCATATAGCTGTGCCTGGGGTATAGGAACAGAGATGTGGTGTTACATTGGTGGCTTTTATTAACCCTCCAAAACCCATCTCCTACTACAGTTGCTATGGTACTTCGTCTGCTTCTAAAATTGGGTCATTTCTAGATGGCAGTCATCAGTCTACTAGCCCTTTGCCATGGTGTGTGGGTGTGTGCACGGATGCATACATATATTCCTATATATGTATATAGCTCAGTGCAGATGCATGCCTAAACGTGTCTGACATCATGTGGGTTCGCATTATCTGCATCCGTGCTTTTATTCTGACTTGAGCAGCATTACAGTTAAGCAATTTACATGGGTTGCACTCATCATGAATCTCTATGACTTACCTAATGCAGCATTTGAGGGAGGAACAGTTAATGGGAGGGGTGTAAAGATTGACAGGTACAGGATTCCATGTACTGTGATCCATTGCATTCGGAAGACATTTTTTTTTTAAGCAAAGGGTTTGCTAAATTACAGGTGGAGAGGGGATGTGTTGCATACATTTAGGAAAATCTAACAGTTTTCAGTGTAAAACCGTTCCATGTAATTACATCTCAGGTTGAATAGAGAATTTTAAACTATTGCTGCACTATGAATAGCCTTCCTTCGTTGTCTTTTCAGCCAAACATGGAGGCTCCCACTTCCAAGCACAGAGCAGATTCTGTATTTGTTGACTGAGAGGATTTATCTGGGTTGGGGAAGAGCTACTGTCTTGAAACTTGTCCTGTCTTGAAACTAAGCCTGTCCTTAGAGAATACTATATATCTGGAAGTTCCTTTTATGAACCATATGTTTTTAAATGATTTCAGTTTTAAGAGAGATGTCTGTGACCTGCCTAAGTTTCAGAGAAATGACCTGTGACCCCTTTAGCTAGGACCTATAGGAAAGAAGCAGAGTGAGAGACAGAGAGAAGAGAACCCTATTTGCTTAAAATCATTGTTTCATTTATTGTCCTTTTTTTTAACAAGAAAACTTGAGGCTATCACATAGGTGATTGAAAAATGTGGGCCCAGAAGGTTCCATGAACAGAATAAAGGAGTAGAAAACTGGGATTCCTGCCTCCCAGAACAGTGGCTAGACCACTTGTGGCATTGCTAGTCTGTTTTAGTGGTGTTTCTTGATAAAGCATTTTTAATCACATCTAAATCTATTATATTTATTGGGGAGAAATTAATGATTTTTAGGGTCTGTCTCTAAGACATACTCACCTAAGGTCAGCTGGAAGCTGACAACACCAGAAGACAGCTGTATGGCTTCTAGGAACACTTCCTGAGTGGAGGTACAAGCAAAAGAACTGAATTGACCCTTAAGGAATCCAAGCACAGACTCTTAAGGAACCTCTCATGGAATACATGTCCTGTGACCTAGGATTTTAAAAGAAAAAAATTTATTTTTAATTCATGGGAATGGTGTCTCCAGGAACAAACATCTTACAAGTGTTACTTGTTTTCTGGGAGTATAGATCATTACTTTCACTTTGATCCACTCCAACACCCCCTATGAATTTATTTCAAGACAAGTTACAGAAAGATCACTTGAAGATAATCACTGAGTTTGTTATAAGACTTGGTTTTGTTTTTACTTTCTTCTTTTGTTTTTTGTTTGTTTGTGTTTTGAAATGTGGTGCCATGCAGCCTAAGCTTGCTTTAAACTAACTAGTAGCAAGACTGGCCTTGAGTTCCTGACCCTTCTGCCTGTCTACCTTCGATATACTGGGATGACAGGAGTTGATTACTGTGCCTGCTTCGTAGAGTTTAAATGAGCATCTATTTCACTGTATTTGAGGGTAATAGACTTCTAATAGAGACGTACAAAATTGGATTGCAAATTATCTCCCTGAAACTTAAATGCATGATGAACCCCTAAAGAGACTGCAGATGATGGGAGAAAGCATCAGTCTTCCAGCTATTTAGGAGTTGGCAGGAAACACCACCCAGATCCTTAGGAATGACTCATTCTGTAGCTAGTGGGATGAATCTTTGCAGGATGAGTCTCTATTACAAGATGAATAAACGGAGCTTGAATTAACATGTCAATAAAAGGCACTAGAAAAGTGACACTTGGCTTTGGGACATAGTTCCCCAAGATCCAAGAATTATGATAGATTGGCAAAATAAAAATAAATCTCCTTCCATCACATATCAGCATAGATATTATAATTGAAGTAACATACAAAGTATGAAAGGACCAGTATTCAGGGAAAAAAAAAATATTGAGGTCTTCTGATAGAGGGAACAAAGCTGTCTTTCTTGAAGACATTTGGACCATTTTAAATTGCTGTTCACAGTACTGATGGGACACAAAGAAACTTAATTGGTAAATTTTTGCTGGGACCACAGAGGGTTAAAAATCAACCTAGATGCAATTCTGGCAAGAAAATAGCAACATTTGGTTGATTGGGAACAAAATGGACCTTAAAGATAGATTGACCTGATTCAAACATCACCTGTGCCATGCAGTGGGTAATTTTGACCATGTTAGCTCTCTAATTGCACATTTCCTTCTCTATGTTAAAAATCACGTAGTCTCAATATGAATATTCACATACTCATATGTAATAGAACGTAAGATGCCTGTTTCTTAGCTATAGAATATACTCTGTGACTAAAGCATCATATCAGTGTTAAGGAGGGTACATTGTGCTGTTTCATTTCCTCTTTTACAACTGACCTTGACCTGAAGTGGATCTCTCACTGCTAGGTTGGACAAGGTCCACTTCATTAGTTCACAATGTTATCCAGAAGTCATCTCCTCCCAACTTTCTAGAAGGCAATTGAGTTTCACAATTTCCCTGGACTCAGTCTGCAATGTTGGTCATGGGTAGGGACAGTGGAGCTCTCCTAGCTTTGTATAGGAAATATGACCTTTATTTATAAATCCTTTAGAAGAACATGCACCTTCTTGCTCAGTCTTCAGTGTTTCTGTTTTAGAAGGAAGCCAATGAATCAGTGAGATGGCTCAAGCCCAATGACCTGATGTCAATCCATGGTGCCAACATGGCAGAAAGGTTAGAAGCCACATGCTACCCTTTGACCTCTAAATTATAATATACAACATACATACATACATATATACACAATGAGTAAATAAATGTAATTTTTCAATAAGAGAGGTCATCTAGATTTTTAAAATAGAAATTAAATAACACAGCCAAGTTTATAAAGCAAAGGTTGGGGCAGAATGGGTACCAACTCAGACTTACTCTACTTACTGAGAGAATATACAGACAGGAAAAGTTACCCACTCTGTTTCCCTCTACTAAAAACAAAAAGAAGGCTCTTGGGGGCTGGAGTGGAATGATCACTTGAATCCACGAGTTTGAGATCAGGCAGAACAACAATTCTGAGACCCTGACTCAAAAAGCAAGCAAGCGCATAAACAAGCAACAACAAAAGGGGGAGATGTGGTGAGAGGTGAGCCTGTTGTCAAAGGCGAGAGAGCTCTCTGGAGGAAGACAAGCTTCCTCAGCTCAGCTGTCCTCAGCTGGAAGACACCCAACACGAAGTGTGCACTCTTCATGCTGTCTCACTAACCAGCAGCTGGGGTCCCCAGGCTACACAAGGAGCAGGGAGGCTCTGGCCCGCTTACTCTAGTAAAGTACCTCTATGATCCTGCGGGCACAAGTCACAATGTTCAGCTTCAAAGTTCCAGCAATCCTGTCCTGGTTTGCGGCCACACCCAACAGTGAGTTGATGGGCAGAATGTTTGGGGTTTTGTTGTTGTTGTTTTGTTTTCCTTTCATCTTTGGTTTAGCTGAATAGGAGGTTCATGGTTGACAGTAACATCCTGTGACAGTTTGCAAGACAAGATGACTTCTAGAAAGGCACCCTACTTTATGAATTTGTTGGATAATTCGGTTTTTCACTGTTCAGTGGGAAAAAAGAAAGATCAGCCATGGAAGGTCCCTCAACAAGCACATAGCTAATGCAATATTATATTCAACCAAAAGTAAACCAACATTCTCTTGAATTTTAATTTGCAAAGACCTCTCCAAGTGATAGCTGTATCATCTATGTTTGTAATTGTACCTGAGAGCAAAGCTAGCATTAGGTGAAGGCTTTCCAGGTTTAATCAGCCAGTATTGCATCCAATGAGTCTGGTAGTTTGGGTGGACCCTTTATGTTAAGCTCAATAACAATCCTCCTGCACAAAGGCTTATAATTTCTTCTCATTAGTCATATTGCTCAAAGATCATTCAACATATAATATAAACACATAATAAATTGTTTATAAAGTCTTCAAAATGAAGATTATGAAAATAAAATAAACAGGTGACAGATTTATTTTTATTTAAACATTGTCCAATTTTTTAGCATACTTTTCAATAGTGAGATAATACCTGTGAAAGTAGAATCAATGTTTAATATGTATTCATATATTTTTAAGGAGATTTCCTCAAAGCAAAGACTGAAAACTTTAGTTTTATGTAAATTCAGACACATACTCAGAACTCTGCATGCAGACACATAGAGGCATTGAAAGTGTGAGAAAAATCATGTTTCTCCACTTGGCATATAAAAGAGAATCAGAAACATTACATAACACCTGCTTTTTAACCTAAAATTAAATGAAATTATTTCTTT